GTATTTAGTTAAATTAACAAACCTAAGAGATTAAAAAAATCTAAATATTTGGAGTTAAATGGAATATAATTAGATTTTGAGAATAGTGAAATAAACATGTATTTTGAATATGATAGGATAGAAATAGAAAAACAAACACAGCAAATTGCAAAGTTTCTGCGTTTTGACATTAGACAAACAATATTGTTTTCACTGAATGCCACAAATACAACCATAAGTTCATATTAAAAAAAATATTTGTGTTTCACTTGCACTGAGTTGCTAATATTACTACATTTTAAGAAACCTTTTCGGGTAGTGAGTGTTAACTACCCCTAGTTCTAATACCATGAAACAAAGAACCTACGCCATAATGCAATAGCTTCAGCATTCATATCCAATCAAATATGATGTCTATGTTCTAAACAGAGAATTGACAAGAAAGAAAACAAAACTAGTATTATATATCTGAAATAAAAAAGACAACAATTTGAATATACATACAGAAAACTTGTATATATATTCCAAATCCAAAATAACCACTCAGCAATTCCAAATCAATAAATGTCAAACACTAATCAATCGAAATTCAACTATTCTTAGGATGTCCTCTAATCAAACAAGCTAAATCCCATATCATCGTCACTCTCCTCCTTGGGTTCTTCCTGCAATATTTCACAGCCATATAAGATATCACAAACCCACATATAGACCTACATTAAAAATTCAGGTAAAAAAATTGCCCCAACTAAAATTATTAAAGGTGTTTCAAGTTACCTTCTTCTCCTCCGGTGGAGGGGCAGCAGCAGCCCCACCAGCACCTCCAGCAGGGGCAGAAACAGCAGCTGGAGCGGCGGCACCACCACCAGCGCCGACATTCATAATAAGGTCATCAATGTTTCGCTTCTCTGCGAGCTTAGCAAACAAGCTAGGCCAGTAGGATTCAACGCTTAAATTGGATGCTTTCACCAATTGAGCAATCTTGTCCGCCTATTAAAACCGTCAAGGAAAATCCCAACACCCGAAACCTATATCCCATCCCAAAAGCTACCATTTATCTTAATTAAATTGCATAAAAACTCTAAGATAAGAAGATGAAACTAAATTAACAGGCTGATTCAACATTAATTTTTCATTCTATTTTCTCAGCAAGTAAAGAAATTATATATTAAAAGCAAATAAGAAAGCGCATATTAGGATACAGTGATGGCGATACCATCATCATGAAGGATCATACAAGCGTAACTGCAAGCAACCTCTCCAAGCGACATCTTTTTAACTTCACTATAAAAAAAATATAACAAAACTACAAAATTAAAACTTGAAAATTTTTGTCAAAACGAAAAGACTGAAGAAACAATCAATTACAAGGGTTTATTTTTTACCTGACGATCTGAAAATGTCTTCTCTTTGCTTCTGCAACTGGTTGCTTAAACTGCGCCGCTCCAGACCAGAACAACGCACAGCTAGGGTTAGGGTTTAAGTAGAGTGTCAATTGGGCTGGGGCTAGATCTAGCGGCCCATTCAAAACCTAATTATTTAGGACAAACTCCATTGAGTACCCCAGAGGCCAGAGGCCAGAGCCAGAGTTATTAAAACGCATATGGTCCCTGTATTATCCGAATGTTCCAAAGACCTCCTTACCGTTAGTTTCTCCTAACTTTTGTCTATTAAATGACTGTATTGCTCTTGAAATAAGTTCTTAAAAAAATTAAAAGAAAAATCCTAAATTTTTCAAAAACAAATGCTAAAAAACTTAAAATTATATTAAATTCATAAAAAAATTAAAGGTATGTTTTGAGAGTTTTTTTTTTTTTCACTGGTTTTGGGGGGTTTTTAATTAACTGGTTTGAGATGTTTAAAAAACCTCCATTTACTAGATTTTTAATAGCTAGTTTTAACTGGTTTAAAAACCCTCAGAACTAGTATAAGTTTTTTAAAGGATTTACAAAACACCCAAATCGGGTGTTTTGGTTGGTTTAAAACTTTTATCCAAAAAAAACCCCTTTTCCACTCCTTTGTTGCACACAATCTCTCGCTAGCTTTGACTTCTCTCTAGCACACAAATCTCTTGCTGCTGCACATGAAGTGAGTGAATGGTTTTAATTTGCTGCACACAACTCGTTTGGGTCGTCAACCAAATTAGGCATTTTGGTTTTTGATAGTTCCAAGAGAGTTGCTATTTGCAATCGCTAATTCACAAAAGAGTAAGTTTCGTTTTCTTGTCTTCTTTATTTGTTTGTGTCTATATAATTAGTTTATTGTATTAGATTCTCCTCACTTTCAGCATTTTGGGTTTGTATTATAGAGGAAGCTTTGTTGATTGTTTGTCATTTGCTTTGGTAATTCAATTTAACGAATTGTCTCTCACTCTTCTTCACTCTCTCTCTCTCTCTCTCAAGAGAATAATTACACGAGATAAGGTGATTTCCCATCTGGGTTCTTGCTTCTTTTATGGATTTGTTAATGTATTTGCATGATTGATCATTCGTCACTTTTGCTTTAAACTCTTGGATGTGATTGTCATTATCTTTTTTTATATTAATCTGAGTTAAAAGTATGTTAGTTTGGTGTAAAGATTGGATTTTGACGTCTGTTTATGAGTTTGATTCTTTATTTCACTAGCTTTTCTTTGATGCATTATGTTGGAATATGTAATCTCACTGTATGTGATTGCTTTCTTTGTAAAATGGCAATGTCAGATGTTTTTCTTGATTCAGTTTTGTTGATTCTGAGGGTTTCTTTTTTAATTTTTTATATACATGTATATTAAAGGTTCTTTTTTTCGTTTTACGAGTAAACTTTGTATATTTGTACGTTTTGATTAGTTTCATTCTGCAAGGGCTTATATTGAATTGGGAATGAGCCTATCAGCCATTTGCTTTGTTGAAGCTTTGTTGATTTTTCCTGTTTCAAACTTGTTTGCAGAAGTTCGTCTTTTATTATTTTTGAAATTCAAGTTTTTTCTACTTTCAAAACTTGTTTATACCAACAGTTGTTTGTAAAACAACATTGCAAGTTGTTAAATCAGGTTGGGAACGCGAGTTTGGGAAGGCATAGCAATTTAATGGAGGATCTGTATTTCTCTGTTCATTTTCTTTAAATAACTCAAGAGGATAGAATTTATATGTTTCTTCTAAGGCGAAGAGATCATATAGTTAAATTTATTAGCTAGGTTTGCATCCTTTTCTTTCATGTTTCATACATAATGACCATATCTTTATGATGTATTATTTTCTTTCAGCTTTGTATATATGGTTTATTTTGAGTTGGCCGGAGTTTATTTGAACACATTTAGAATAGGTTTGCTGTGTCAACCGAGTGCTGCGCAAAACAATTTACGCTCTATCTATTTTATACAAGTTTAGAATACATCACAGTTATTATTGTAAGGCCGTGAGAGAGTTTTCATTAGCCAACTTCAGTAGGAAAGCTACGAGTTAGGAAATTGATTTACATGAAGTTGAGGGACAAACTTCTTGCCTGATTTTTCCTGAGTAGATTCTGGCTTAACACAAGGAAATTCTGTATAAGTCATATAAGGTTGCATTAAATTTCATAACTGGTAGCATCATTAACAGGCCGCTTCCAACTATTATGATGCAACAATAGTAAATATCCAGATTGTTTTTCCCTTGAATTTATAATCAGTGAATACTTGTCTGTACAAACTCGGATTAATACCATAACAATAGAATATGATTTGAGAAATGTTAGCCAACTTTAGCAGGAAAGCTGTTCAATATGTGACATTATATTGCTATACTTCTTGTTCTTTTAATCTTTTAATTTGATAATAACTCTTTTGTTGTGTACTCATTCTTATTTATTAGATGGCTTGACTATGATGACTTAAATAATGATGATTTGATCATGTACGCTATCATTTGTATATATCATATTCATATGATGTTTCTATTATTAGTTGGATGTGTTTTAGCACAACAACCCACAGCACAAACTACTTCACGTTTGAGTAGAATTAATCGTGCAATACGCTTGCAAAGTAAGCAAATTCGGGATGAAATAATGTAACGTATTGCTGGACCAAGTGGTAGACCTTTGATTCGAATGGGTCCCGTAACATTTGTAGAATTTTGTGGAATTTTAGCAACGAAAGGGGGGCTTCGTTCAACTCAACGAGCTACAGTTGAAGAACAAGTTGCTGAATTCCTTTGGATTATAGATCAAGACACTAGGCATAGTGCGTTTTCATTGCTTTTTCATCGCTCTGGTGAGAAGGTTAGTCGTCACTTTCATAAAGTGTTAGAAGCAATCATCACTTCGTTCACAGGAGTCAAAACACTGTCCAGCATTCCAATTTGATAATTATAGCGTCTTCTACTCTTACTAAATCGACTAACCATGACACAGACTAATGATAATGGAAGTAAAACCCAAAACCAGGTGTTAAATAAGAAACATAAGTACAACTTTGTAAAGACAACTTTTTCACAAGACTGAGTAGCTAAAACATGCAAGTCAAATTTATAACTTCAAAGTTAATTAAGCAAAAGAGAGAGTGTTTTAACTTTATAAGCATTTATGTAAATGTATCATTTAAAAAAACTGTCAGAACAGTTGGAAAATAAACTCTCAAGCACATGTTGGGTATTTTAAAAATTGCTACTAAAAACCCCTCAAAACAGTTACGGTGATTTACCTTTAAAACCGCTACGATAGTTTACCCTCATAACCGCTACCATAAAACTCCCAAGCAGACTCTAAAGAAGAAAAAATCATAAAATAATTTCATAAAATAATCAAAATCTACAAATCATACAAATTTGTCAAATTTATAATTTTTTTTTTATTTTTTAAGTTTTCTTTTGTTTAGGTAAAGTTGTTGAATTTTTATGTTAATTTATATATATTTTTTAAATTAACATATTTTTCATAATTTTGTAGAAACTATCATAGGGGTAATTTGGTCATTCCATAAGTCAAAATGGTAAAAGTGTTAGTTTTAACTGAAAAAAACTGACGACGAACGCGCAGGCTCTACAAAGGAAAGGAAAGAATCTAAGATCACTGCCATTTCTGCTTATTCTTCTTACCCTTGGATGTCGACGGATCCGGAGGTCTAGAGTGCTAGGATTGGAGCATGGGCCACTCTATGTCGGAGAGGAGATTCACTTCGGCATCTTCGGCGTTCGAGTTGTAGTGGGCAACAGACACCATGGTTACCCTTTCCGACCATCCATAAATAAATTGTCGCTCGACCGGAATGATGTTTGGGGAGTTGAAAGGCAAAGGATCACGAGCTTCAACAGTCGGAGCACCATTTGGAAGGACTTCCTCCAAGTTAGAAGTCAAAGAAGTTTCTAGCCGAATGATATTTGGGGAGTTAGTGCTCATAGGGTGGGGGTGGGTATGTGGGGCCTCGAGAGTAGTTGAGGGAGGAGCCTCCTCAGGTGCCTCATGGCCAAACTCAGCATTTTGGACAACGCTTTGGTTTCTATTCATACTCAGTTTCAATTGGAATTAAGTTTCAATGGTACACAGGCATAAATTGGTGCAGAATAGGCTTAGAAGCATTAATCTCCACAAAAACCCAGAGCTAAATATAACTCGGATAACACAGGGAAGAAAAGTATTTGATAACTCAGGGGTACTAAGGATTTTGTCCTTAATATTACTAAAATATATGACACAGTAGTAATAGAAGAAAATTGATAAAGCCCCATGCATACTATTTTGTTTCCCGCTAACTTTCTGCTTTCTCCACTGATATCTCACGAATCTCTTCCTCAATTGAACACAAAACTACCCAATAATAAAAAATTCCCGCAATACCCCAAACCCAAAATCACTCAGTTTTGTTCCATTTCAAGTGTTTCATCTTCTTGTGAACAGACTCCTCTTCACGATGACTGGCCTCAGCTCCTCAAAATCTCAATTGGCTCTGAAGATCTGCAATTGGGTCAAATGGTTCATGCCTTTTTACTAAAATCAGGCTCTCAAAACCACACCTTTCAGGCCAATAATCTTGTCAATCTCTATTCGAAATTCAATAAATTGGATGATGCGCAACGGGTGTTTGATGAAACGCTTGAGAGAAACACCATCACTTGGACTTCATTAATAAAAGGGTATTTAGAGAATGGGGATTACGAGTCTGTGTTTCGAATTGCACTCGATATGTGTCGTTTGGACGAGAAGTTCAACGAGCGTACTTGTTCTGTTGTTTTACAGGCTTGTAGCTCGCGAGAGGATCGGATTCTCGGTGAGCAAATTCATGGTTTTGTCATAAAAAATGGGTTTGAGAAGAATGTTTTTGTTGCAACTTCTTTGATTTCCATGTATTCAAGAAGTGCATTCTTTAATGATGCAGAGAAAATTTTCCATAGCTTGGCTTATAAAGATGTTAGGTGTTTGAATTTCATGATTTTGGAATATGATAAGGCGGGTTATGGGGATAAAGCTTTTGAGGTCTTTGTTCATCTGCTGAGTTGTGGTTTTGAGCCAAATGATTATACATTTACAAATATAATTAGCGCTAGCGGTGAGAATGTAGGTTTTGAAGAAGGGAAGCAACTACACGGGGTTGCTATTAAGTACAGTTTAGAGAGGGAGGTTTCGGTTGGAAATGCATTAGTTACAATGTATGGGAAGTATGGAATGGTTGATGAAGCTGAGAGAATGTTTAATGCAATGAATGAGAGGAATTTGATTTCTTGGACTGCACTTATGTCAGGGTATGTGAAGAGTGGTCATGGTGGGAAAGCCATTAAGGGGTTCTTGGAATTACTAGACCTTGGTATTTTTTGCGACTCAAGTTGTTTAGCAACCGTAATTGACGCTTGCTCGGAGTGTAGAAACTTGGACTTTGGAGTTCAATTCCATGGGTTTGTGATAAAACTTGGTCATTTATATGATGTCAGTGTTGGAACTGGTTTAGTTGATTTATATGCCAAATGTGGGAACCTGAAGTCTGCAAGAATGCTTTTTAATGGTGTATCAGGTAAAAATACTGCTTCATTCAATGCACTTCTTGTTGGATTTACGGAAACAAATGCAGCTGATGAAGAAGATGTGATGATTTTGTTTAGTCGGCAAAGATTAGCTGGTATGCAACCAGATAATGTGACTTTTTCACGGCTAATTAGTCAATCTGCTAACAAATCTTGTTTGGTCAGAGGCAGTAGTCTTCATGCTTATACGTTTAAATCAGGGTATGAAGCAGATTTAATTGTAGATAATGCTTTAATTTCCATGTATGCCAAGTGTGGAAGCATTGAAGATGCCTTTCAAACGTTCAAAGGTATGAGTGGGCACAATGTTGTATCATGGAACGCAATGCTTTCTGCATATGCCCTTCATGGGCAGGGTAAAAAAGCACTCTTGCTCTTCCAAGAGATGAAATGTCAAGGATTTGTACCAGATGAAATCACAATATTGGCTGTTCTTCAAGCCTGCATTTACTCTGGGTTATGGGAAGATGGCATATTCTTATTCAATGAAATTGAACCAATATATGGAATAAAGCCAATACTTGAGCACTTTACTTGCATGGTTGATCTATTGGGCAGGGCTGGTCTTTTGTCCGAAGCCATGAATCTTATTAAAAGTTCCCCTTATCCACACTCACCTCTTCTTTGGAGAACTTTGGTCAGTGTCTCTAAATTAAGTGGGGATTTGAGTTTTGGCATTTTGGCTTCAAAACATTTGCTGAACTTAGAGCCTGAAGAGGCTGGGTCTTATATACTTGTTTCAAATATCTATGCTAGAGAAGGAATGCTAGATGAGGCAGCCGAAGTTAGAACAGCTATGAATGACTTGAAGTTAAGGAAAGAGGCTGGATGTAGCTGGATTGAGATTGATAATAAGGTCCATCGGTTTGTGGCAGGCGGCAAAGACCATCCAAGAAGTAGAGAAATTTATGCAAAATTGGATCTATTAAGTGATGAGATTAAATCAAAGTCTGATGATTGAACGCTTTCCATTTGATTCTGGATCCTATTTAAGTACCAAATCAAAAGAATCATCAATCTTGTCAGTTTTTTCCCCTGGTAGAAGATATTGGCTAATGCTTAGCCAATACAATCATAATTTTTCATCACACATCATTGTCGGCAGTAGAAGATACACCCAATTTATCCAACATTTAGAAATTGTGTTTAGTTCACCCATCCAATCCTTCTATAACAAAATTAATTGAATGCTTAATTACTTTAAATACAGTGTGATTGTGATGGTGGTCACCAGCCGTTGAAGAGCCTATAAAGAAAACTTGGCACTTTCTTGGAGTAGGCTTTGTGGGTTCTACTGCTGAAATGTCACAATGGCCAAAACCAATTAACCCACAAAATTTCTTTGTCAATTAATCAAATCAAAACTATTAGAGCTATCGAAATGGAACATTTGTTTAGATTTTTTAACTTTTTTAATCCTTTGCTAATGATCTAATGAACGTAAATCAAGGGTGAACTGTTGAAATGCTTTTCACTGTTAACTACAACTTTCCTGAGATTTAGTTCCTTCTAAAACATTTTTCAAATGTGGTTTCACATCTGTAAAGCTAATAGTCATATTCTAGCCATCCTCTTTTCATGGCTTTCGGTGAATTTTCTGGACTTTTTATGGAGAGTACTGAAGCTCCACATGTGTTTAACTTTATCATTTGGTGTCATTCTAAGCTATGATGCTGGAATGGAATAGAACTAGATTCTTATATAAAGATATATTGATAGATCCCAATTCATTGTTTTGTACCATAAATAGAGAAAATTAATAAATTAATTATGAATTTGGACATTTTTTTAGTTCATTATGCAACGGTGAGTTTGCCAACTTTGAGAGAAAGAAAAAACATTTCTTCAATTATAAGAACATGTTTTTTTTCTATATTTAGGACATAATTTTCTCTGTTTAGGCCCGTAACTTAGATTGATGATGCATATACATAACCATAAGATGAAGTTGTAGGTAAGATGGCAAGAAAAATAATATAAATGGTTCAACAACAGATGTAAGATTAAACACCTAGCTCTAATTATGAAATGGACATTAAGCAATAAGCACCAACTCTCTACCAACAAAAATAAGCCATTAACAATTTAATATAATTAATTTACAAACCATCAAATAAAAGTTGCTCCACCAACACACATTTCTTCCAAACAACACTCTTTTAAATTTCATAATTGTCCACACTTTGCTCTTCTTTGGAAAGAAAGAAATAAAATCTTCTTCTTTAGTTTATGATACTAATAATAATTATAGAACATAATTAGAAGAAAGATCGTTTGACCGGAGCTCTGCCAACAGCTCTCATCAAATTAGCAACTTCAAGAATTCTTGCCACTTTGGTTCCTCTCTTGGACTCCGATGACGCCCTTCTCTCTTCAGCTTTTCTGCGTGCTTTCACCACATCATTTTGCATCTTCTCCAGGGCTCTCGCTCTCTTCTCTTCTAGCTTCCTCTACACAGACATAAAATGATTAATTATTTATCTTAAACAGATGAGCTTAGGAACCAATAATATGAAATTTCTTTAGTATTAATCATTCCAACTTAAACATATGCTTAATTTTGCAGACTAAAAGATTAGGATAACTTTACTATTATTGGAGGATCAATAAATAATGGACTTAAACTGCTGAAAACTACTGATCATCAACCACATGCTTAATCAAAACTTTCACTAATTATAATCATTAGTTGCTAATAGATTCACTTTCTGCATGTAGAACTAAATACCAAATGATCATCAACTATCCATCATGCATGCAAAAGCCAAAAAGGCTTTTTAATTACTACTAATTAATTACCTCAACTTTCTTCATCCAAGAATTAGCCTTTTCCACTTGCTCACTCTCCCAACCATTAATTATCGCCTCTTCTCTCTTAAACCGATTATTAAGCTTCGAAATCTTCGCGTTTTGCCATGCTGATATCTTCGTCTCCACCTCTTCTTTCTTCACTCTCTGCACCGAAACATCACCATGAAAGCCGCCGGAACCCACCCGTCTCGAATCCAGACTCGACTCCAACGGACTATTATCCGGTACTATAGCCAAAGGATTAGTCTCTTCCGGTATCTCTTCCTCTCCAATCCTCGTCAAGTGACTATTATTCATATCGTTCATCATCACATCACTTTCATTAGTCTCTATAGCCGAACCCGCAAGAACCAAGGCGCTGAATTCTCTGCTCATGGTGGTAAAATTCTCACTTGCAGCTCCTTCACTGGAGATGGACATGGACGATGATGGATGGCTACTAGTCTCCCAAGTCTCTCTTCTACGGCCACGATTCAGCGGAAGGGGATGGGGTGGGGTCAAGGCATGGATGTCTCTGATGTTAGGTTCATCGTCCTGGTGACCCTGATCAGCTTGATCGTGATCGTGGTCGTGGTCGTTCTCGCCATTGGTGATGGCCCTTTGAGGGTTTAACATGTTAAAGTGTGGACAGTGGTGTGTTTGTATTTTTGTGCGCAAAAAGGGGGAAGGGAAGAGGGCGAAATGGAAGGCGGTTTATTTGTAGAAGTAAGAAGAGTTGAGGGTTTAAACATAGTCGACGGATAGTTTGGATTGGTGTTTGTTTTGACTGCTATCAAGAAATATGAACCACAGACATATGAGAGGAGAACTCAAGAATTACCAAAGCTTTAAGTAGAAAAATAGCATAATAAATGTAAATAAAGATGAAACTATGCGAGGTGTTGTAGTGAGATTAAAAGGAGCTTTAGATTTTGAATATTTTTGCTACAAATGAGATAAATCCTTCATCTTTTTATGTTTTCATTTTATTCCCCACATCTTATATAGATTTTTTATTTTTCTTTTTCATCTGAGCCCTTGGTTTGTACTTATTTGAGTTACCTTTTTGTAATTATTTGCACGGACCTATTAGTCAAACTAATTGTAAATCGCTATCAATACCAACAAGGAAAAGGTAATCGTACGTCTACATATTTCGAAGTTTTATTTATTAAATGTAAAAATAATTAAGTAAGAATAATTTTAGTAAGTACGTTATTCGTGTTGGAGTCTCACACAGATTAGGCACGTTCAAGCTTACTAGTTTATAAGAGAGAGTAATGCTCCAATTCAACAAGACCTTATTGGGTGAAGAGTCAGACCGACCTTAAATTTTATTATGATATCAAAGCTCACTGGGTGAGGAGTTAGAGCCAATAATTATCTCCGTTAACAGGCATGACCCAACATATGAGCTTGATCGTAAGGGAAAGTGTTAGAGTCTCACACCAACTAGGCACGCTCAAGCCTACTAGTTTATATATATATATAAACTCCTCACCCAAAAGATCTTATTGAGTGGAAGGATTGTCCACTCTTATAAACTCATTAGCTTCAGCGTACCTAGTCGATATGAGATCTCCAAAACTCCCCCTCACGATTAAGCCCATATGGTCCACTTGTCTATGAATGAAGGTAGTTTGGCAACTCACCGCTGGTCAATCACTCAGCTCAAATGGGGCTAGCTCTGATACCACTTATTGGAGTTTGGCTTAACTCCTCACCCAAAAGGCTTTATTGGGTAAAAAGTCAAGCCCACCTCAAATTCTATCATGGTATCAGAGCCCATGTTTAGTTGAGCTGAGTGTTTGACCACCAGATAAGGAGTTAGAGCCAACAACTATCTCCGTCAACATGCATAACTCAACATATGGGCTTGACCATGAGAGAGAGTATTGGAGTCTCACACCGATTAGGCATGCTCAAGCCTACTAGTTTATAAGAGAGAGTAATTCTCCTATTCAACAAGACCTTATCGGATAGAGAGTGAAACCTAACTCAAATTTTATCACTTCCTTAAAAAACTTTCACATGCATCTTGTCTGATAAAAAGAGAGCAAAGAGGCTTGAACATACTACTCACTTAGCTGATAGGTTATTTGGTGTTTGTGTGTTTAGATAATATTCGTGAAGATATTTTAGAGATATGTTAACCTACATTAAATTTTAATTATACCTTTTTTATGTTGTGTGTAATTTATTTTTCATTATTTGATAATAGAAAATTTACTTAAAAGACCTTTTTTTTTTTTTTTTTAAATTTGGTTTAATACATAAAACATTTCATCTACTTTTGTTCCATCTTTACTCCTCCACAATTTTCATGTCTTCACTCTAGCAAATCTAATGCTAAAATGACTCACTAGACTCAGAGCATTAGAAAAACAAAAAAAACAAAAAATTATTCTCCAAATTAGCATTAAGAAATAAAATATTAAAATTTCTTAAAATAACAAATAAATTAACTAATTATATTTTATAAAAAAAAAGAAATAAAACATAAATGTTTTTAAAAAGGAATAGTAAATGTATATAAGAGTTCTTTTAACTCTTAAAAATTAAGAAATAAAATAATAAAAACTAGTGTTAGGGTCGATTGCGACCCTATTGCTAGACTGGCTTTCTCTAGTGAGTAATGTTACATGAAATCTTACAAAGATTTATGTACAAAGTGATGTGGCAAAAAATGAATAGAAGAGTGAATATAAAAAGTCAAATTCATTATATTTATTCTTCTATTCATTTCTTGCTACATCACTTTGTACAAAAATCTTTGTACATCTAACATTATTGTTCTCTAATTGCTAGAGTGAAGAAGGTAAATGTGGAAATAAATTAATAATATGTCACGTTTCAATTTGATCCTTTTAAAAAGAATTTTTCAAATAATTATTTCATTAATAATTGCTTTAATGTAATTTTCTAACACTTAATAATTATAGAAAGTTAATACTTAGAACTTCTAAATCAAAACTTTGAAATTAATTAGGCTTTGATGGTATAGCTATCTTGGTTCTTATTGACTAAAACATTTTTAGTAATAATAATGTTATACTCACTCACGAACTTATTAACCATCTTACTAATCTTTGTAAATATAAAACATAGTACGAGTACCATAATCATAATATGGGTACCATATGTAATTTTAACAAAAGTGAGTAAAATGGTTAGTAAGTTCGTGAGTAAGCATAATATTACTTTTTTAGTAATCAATTAATGGTATCAAAGTCAAAGGCCTTCGGCAAGAAAGTTAATTTATTTATCCTAATAAATACTTTTATTATATATCTATAAAACAATATCTTTTTTTTTTTCTTATCGGCCCTGCAATTAATTATTGGAAAAACTTTCAGTTACCACTCTTATTAGCAACCGAGCTTATATCTCTTAAGTAATACATTTAAGAGTCTTAGTTGATCACTCGATCACCCAATGGTAGTTTATAAGACAATATCCAATTACCTGGTAAATTATTAAACTTGTGACTTGCTCTAGCATTAGTCTATTGGAATAAGTTAATGTTTATTCCAATAAGTTTAGGTTTTGTTTAATTAATGGACCAAAAATAATTTTTAAAAACTAAAATAAGATTCTAATTTTTAGAATTGTATTCAAAAATTGTTTTTTCGTAAACATTTCAACTTATTCCTGCTAAGTGCATTTTTATAAGATTTTTTTGATTCTTGGTTAAAAAAAAAAAAAAAAAAAAATTCTTTAAATTTTGTATAAAATAGACTAGATTTTTCTTTTTTTGTAATTGTGTAAGAGAGTTGAAATAGGTTCCCACTTATATGAAGTTTGGAAGAGTATTATTATTTATACTATTCCAAACATACATGGATATATTTCTGTACATTCTTAAATTACAATACTCAAAAATTAAAGAAAATGTTACACAGAATCTTTCATATGTTGGAGAAGATAAATTAATTAATTTTAACTTGCATGAATGGTTTTTAAAACCATCGAGATAAGTCCATTTCTAAAAATTTCTTAAAAATTAAGGTAAAAAGCTAGAAATAAAAATACAAGTTATTTAGGGTCGAAACTTTAAATAAAAAAGAAGAAAGGAGTTTCAATGAAAATTCCTCTTCAATTAACATTTTTTATTTGTAATTAGTGTCGGCCGGGAGATTTTGTGAGGAGCCCACCAATATTAGGTAGTGCGGGTGGACCAGTCCTACAGTACACACGCATCCACAATCTATCAATCAAACACCTGTTGATGACATCCATGTGTCCACTTTCTTATCCAATGGGTCCCATTACCAAAACCTACGTATGTCCCCTCCATGCAACTGCTGTCGTAGTACCATCAGATTTTCGCCACGTGTACGGTGACTTCTCAATCCTCTTCCAAGTGTTCAAGATGCTCACGTCTCAAGTGATAAACTAATGTTATTGCTTTCCCCTTAATATATTATCTTTACCTATAAATAACGACAAAAATAGAAAAAAAAATGATTGTATTTAAAGGTGAATAATAATATGTTTAATAGCAACCAATGGGAGACGAACATTTGGAGTGTTGAAAAGTTGGAGCTATTAATTGATGTAAAAGAAGTGTAGTGGAATGCGACATGTGTCCACCATTAAGAAGCAAAGGTTGGAACACGTGTTTGGGGATTAATTGGAACTTGGGTGCTTTGAGACTGACCGATTGATAAGATTATGATGTTGGAGTCGGTATTAATAATTCAAATTTGTTATTGACAATTACTTNATCTTTTTTTTTTTTTTTTTAATCAGCCCTGCTATTAATGATCGGAAAAACTTTCAGTTACCACTCTTATTAGCAACCGAACTTATATCTCTTGAGTAATACATTTAAGAGTCTTAATTGATCACTCAATCACCCAGTGGTAGTTTATAAGATAATATCCAATTACTTGGTAAATTATTAAACTTGTGACTTGCACTAGTATTATTCTATTGGAATAAGTTAATGTTTATTCCAATAAGTTTAGGTTTTGTTTAATTAATGGACCAAAAATAATTTTTAAAAACTAAAATAAGATTCTAATTTTTAGAATTGTATTCAAAAATTGTTTCTTTGTAAACATTTCAACTTATTCCTGCTAACTGCATTTTTATAAGATTTTTTTGATTCTTGGTTAAAAAAAAAAAAAAAAAAAAATTCTTTAAATTTTGTATAAAATAGACTAGATTTTTCTTTTTTTGTAATTGTGTAAGAGAGTTGAAATAGGTTCTCACTTATATGAAGTTTGGAAGAGTATTATTATTTATACTATTCCAAACATACATGGATATATTTCTGTACATTCTTAAATTACAATACTCAAAAATTAAAGAAAATGTTACACAGAATCTTTCATATGTTGGAGAAGATAAATTAATTAATTTTAACTTGCATGAATGGTTTTTAAAACCATCAAGATAAGTCCATTTCTAAAAATTTCTTAAAAATTAAGGTAAAAAGCTAGAAATAAAAATACAAGTTATTTAGGGTCGAAACTTTAAATAAAAAAGAAGAAAGGAGTTTCAATGAAAATTCCTCTTCAATTAACATTTTTTATTTGTAATTAGTGTCGGCCGGGAGATTTTGTGAGGAGCCCACCAATATTAGGTAGTGCGGGTGGACCAGTCCTACAGTACACACGCATCCACAATCTATCAATCAAACACCTGTTGATGACATCCATGTGTCCACTTTCTTATCCAATGGGTCCCATTACCAAAACCTACGTATGTCCCCTCCATGCAACTGCTGTCGTAGTACCATCAGATTTTCGCCACGTGTACGGTGACTTCTCAATCCTCTTCCAAGTGTTCAAGATGCTCACGTCTCAAGTGATAAACTAATGTTATTGCTTTCCCCTTAATATATTATCTTTACCTATAAATAACGACAAAAATAGAAAAAAAAATGATTGTATTTAAAGGTGAATAATAATATGTTTAATAGCAACCAATGGGAGAC